GTCAGCGTAACTGCTGCGCCCTGTAAATCCTGAACTTTTTCAAAACACCAGTCCTGGTACGCTGACCATGGGAGTCCGTGAAACTCTTGCAATTCGTGTAGACGAATGTGCGCGGCGCCAGCTTTTAGCGGAAGAGGTTCGCTCTCGCCCCGCAGATCAAGAATGTGCGCGTCGCCAAGGCGCGAGCCACATTTTGGAAAAGAATTGCCTTCTCCGTGACATTCTTGTGGATGTTTAAGACGAGGTGCGCGACGCTAAGGCGCGAGCCACATTTCGAAAAGGAACCGTCCTCAATCCGTGAAGCTGTGCAATTTTATGACGACTGGTGCGCGACGCTAAGGCGAGAGCCACATTTTGGAAACGACCCGCCCTCCATCTGTGAAACTGTTCAGGGTCATTAGTTGTAATGAAGTCTCAGGCGAAACTTCCGGCCCGCCCTTCCGACTGGCTTCGGGGTGCGACAGGGAGGAGTATGTATTAGGAGAAGCAAAGGAGGATGAGGACGAGGACGAGGAAGAGGAGGAGGACGAGGAGGAGGAGGAGGAGGAGGAGGGGGAGGAGAGGGAGGAGGAGGAGGAGGAGGAGGAGGAGGAGGAGGAGGAGGAGGAGGAGGAGGAGGAGGAGGACGGACGACGACGACGACGCCGGCGGCGAAGAGGCGGAGAAGGACGACGAGGGGGAGGGAGGGAGGGGCCCGCAGGCCGGGGAGGGGCCCGCAGGCCGGGGAGGGGCCCGCAGGCCGGGGAGGGGCCCGCAGGCCAGGGGAGGGGCCCGCAGGCCAGGGAGGGGCCCGCAGGCCAGGGGAGGGGCCCGCAGGCCGGGGAGGACCCGCAGGCTTATGCAATAGTAGGTGGGGAGGAGGAGGGAAGGAGGAGGGCAGGATCCACGGAGGAGGGAAGAGGGAGGTACGCGGGGGTGCACGCGTAGCCCGCGGGGCGTGGTAGTCGGAGGAAGGAGGGAAGAAGGGAGGAGGCGGCAAGACAGGCAGAGGTGCGGCCGTACCCCGCAGGGCGTGGCCGTCGGAGGGGGGAGGGGAGAGGACGGTGGGAGAGGATGGAAGAGGGGAAAGTGTACCAGAAGCGTCGTCGCTGGCGGTCGGCCAAGGGGGGCATGCCATGGGTGGCCACACCAGGGGGGGGAAAGAAAAGACGATCCCCCTTCGCCACGTGATGTCTCGGGCCCACGGGGCATCGGGTGCCAAGGGCCACGCGGCGGGGATTATGACGCCCCCCCCACGGCCACGACTCGCAACAATGAAGCCCCAAGGGGAGGCTCGGCGTATAGCCGCGTCGCACCGCTGCCATCCCGTGGGCACCAGTAGGCCCCCGCTACAGCCGCGCCCCGCCGAGAGCCTCCCTAGGAGAGGGAGGAGGAGGGGAGGAGGAGGAGGAGGAGGAGGACGGAGGAGGAGGAGGAGGAGGAGGAGGAGGTCCGTAGCCATTTTGGCTCAAGGTTAAACGTTGTGAAGGGCTATAGACGCCCGAGAATCAGCGATTAGCCTTGGCAATCCGTGGCCACTCTCGAGGCCGTCAGGAGGCCGAGGTTTTTCTTCGAACCCACGGCGAGCTGCCCGAGCCGCCGTGATTTGCGAGCGAGGTCCCTTCGTGCTGAGACGCGGCCATGGCGCCGGCGTGGACGTGCGGGACCTGTGGCTTCCACAACTTCGGGCACCGAGGCACTTGCGAGCAGGCAGGCTGCAACGGACGGAACCCTCAAGGCCCCATCCCGCAGGTCCAGTTCTCCTGGGGAAATCCGTGGTGGGGCATGGGTGGGTTCGGCGGCGGCGGCAAAGGGGGTAAAGGCGGCGGAGCCTTCATCCCTGGAGGCGGCGGCGGCAAGGAGAACGGTTTCAGAGGGAAAGGAGGTGGTGGCGGTGGAGGTGCGGGGGGAGGAGGCAAGGCGTCTCCCCCTCCCAAGCGTGAGCTCACGGCCGAGGAGAAGTCTTTGTGGCTCAATCTCTCGGAGGAGCAGTTCGCGCTTGCCTCGCAGTCCATCCCACGACACCAGAGGGATTCACTCATGCACCAGCGCGCGCTCCAGAACTATGGCCTATCTGGGGCCAAGGCGGAGGCCGCGCAGATCAACACGCTCATTGGGAAGTACAGCCAGCAGATGGTGCACCTCAAGCAGAAGGTGGCGCGCATGCAGTCGAAGGCCGAGGAGGCGGTCAAGGCCGCCATCGTGGCGCAGGAGGAGCTGGACACCGGCCAGAAGCAGCTCGAGGACGCGAAGGCCCGCGGGCTCTCGCTGGGCGCGCAGGGCGGTGCGGGCGAGGGGCGGGCGGCGCCGCCAGTGTCTCTCGCCCAGCCCCTGCAGCAGGCGCTCGACGCCTTCGTCGGAGCCCTCCCCGAGGGGGAGGCGGGCGAGGGCTTGCGCAAGGCCTTCGACACGATGCGCGAGACGCTGGAGGCGGCGGTGGCAGCGGCGGAGGCGAAGGTGCCCTCTGCCGCGGCCGCCGCCACAGCCGCAGGCGGCGCAGCCCCAGGCAGCCCAGGGCCCGCTGGGGGCGGCCAGCCGAGGGCGAAGCGGGAAAGGCGTGGTGAAGTGGAGAATGCCGCCAGTGCTGAGAGTCGCCGTGCAGCTCGTGCTGATGCTGCTCGCGGCCGAGGCAGTGGAGGGCACGCAACGGACATCGAGATCGACGAGGACCAGCAGGATGAACACATGGAGGGAGTCGACAACGCCCTCGCCCGTGTGGGAGATGGACTACGTTCGGAGTTCCATGGCGATGAACGGGCGCAGCAGTGTGTCTCTTCCGTGCTGGACAAAGTCAAAGAGCAGATGGAGAAGGAGAGAGAGGAGGCTGGCAAGAGGGGCAACCGCAGCAGGTCACCGACACGCTCGTGCGGCTCCTGACGGCCTGAGTTGGGGTTTTGTCTCAGCTAACGTCACAAGCTGGCCACGGTGCCAGTCTTTTTTAGAGGCCGAATGTCAGTCGAAGGTTTGTTTCCTTCAAGAGACGAAGGTCAAGGTAGGCGACACCGCTCAGGCGTCGAACACTTTGGCCAAGGTAGGATGGAGTGTTCTTTTTGGGACCTGTGATGTGACCCAGTCTGAAGGTTTATCAGCAGGGGTAGGTTTGGCCGTCCGCAAGGGGGTAGGCATGGGCAGCAATCCCTTGGAGCCGCGACCCCACTCCAGGGCCGTCGTGGCTTGGGTCGGCGGTTGTGTCGCGGGAGGTTTCCACGCTGCCAGTGTTTGCCTCCCGAGCGGGGATGGTGTAGGTGCCGAGGGCCGTCGCATTCTTTTCCAGGTTGGGGAGTTTCTGTTCTCCATGGGAAAGCCGTTCGTCATTGGCGGCGACTTCAACGCTCTGGAATCTGAGGTGAGAGGCACTGGTTTACTAGAGAAAATCGACGGGGTCATAATTCTGACTGGCAAGCCTACGTGCAGAGTGGGCAAGGATTGGCGTGAGATTGACTTCTTCATTGTGTCGGCGAGCTTAGTGCCCTGTGTTTGGCGCTGCGATCGATTGGAAGGGTCTGAGTTGTCCACCCACTACCCCATCAGAATGTCGATCAGGACTAGCACTCATCTGGGTCAGATCAGATATTTGTGGACACCCAAGAGGTTCCCTGATCTTCCGATCGGCCCAGCGCCAGCCCCACCAGGATGGTGGGAAGGCATTCAGATTCAGGTTGAGCAGTTGGTTCGTGAACCAGCAGTCACGCAAGCTCAGGTCTCGCAGGCTTATGCATCATTTTGTCAGGCAGCCGAGCTAGAGCTCGCGGACACGTACCAGCTGGAGCTGTCGGGCTCCAAGGGGAACTTTTTCGGCAGAGGCGACAAGTTTAAGTACGTGTATAAGCCAGCCATTGTCAAGGTTGGCGGGCCACATCCTCTCGGGTCGCCAGTGTCTAGAGCGATGCGAAAGTTCCACACACGCCTTGAAGAGTTGGGGCACCTCAAGCGTAAGGGACACGACGATGATGACATGCAGGTATGTGAAATCAACCGAAAGCTTCAGAAGGCTCCCGAGGTACTCTGGCACTCTTCTGGCTGGCGGGAGTGGCGTGCATGTCATTTTAGTTTCAGAGGATACGAGGCGGACTCTATCAGGGACGCCTTGTTCGATTTGAGCAAGCTGATCCAGTCTGAGGAGGCTTCTTGGGTCAGGCAGCGTCAAAAGAAGTGGAGATCTTGGGCTTCAGAGGCGGTGTCAAACGGGGGGAGTATGGTTCACAGGTGGGTGAAGGTCCCGAATGAATGGATCCCAGATGAGCCAGGCCCTGATGGAAGCCCAGGAGGAGCGATGGACCAGATTGAGGCCCTCGAAAGTGAATGGAAGGGCATCTGGAGGTATGGTGACCTGAAGGAGCCAGAGGCCGATTTTCTGCAGTCGTTACCCATGGATGACCCTCCAGAGCCACCAGAGCCCCAGGAGTTACGCCGAGTTCTTGGGAAGTTTAAAAGGCGCACGGCAGTGGGGGCTTGCAGGTGGCCGCCTGCACTTTTGAAGTCACTGAGTGACGAAGGCCTTCGTGTATTTGGTCTCCTGCTGCACATGTGGGAGAAGTTCGTTTGTCTTCCTGAGCAGATCGCGCTGCTCATCCTCCCTTTCCTCCAGAAACCAGAAGGTGGGCGGCGACCTATCGGTATCTTGCCCACGCCAGTGCGCGTTCTGGGGAGATTGCGGCATAGGGAGGCGGAGAGATGGGAGGAGGCGAACCACAAGGAGTACATGTACGGGGGGAAGGGACGGAGCTGTGAGATGGCGGTATGGAGGCAAGCGATTAACAATGAGGCGGCTATCGCCAGCAAGTTTTTGAGTGCCTGCACGCTGATTGATCTCGAGAAGGCGTATGAGAGAGTGACGCACCAGCTCTTGCTTCGTTCGTGCCATCGGCATGGATTTAGTATCAGACGCATACGAGTGCTCCTCTTAGTTTATGGTGGGCCTCGCAGCATCAAGGTGGGCGAGGCCCTGTCCCTCCCTTTCGCAGTCAACAGCAGCATAGTCGCGGGGTGTTCGTTCGCGACGACGTTGTTGAAGATAGTGCTTAAAGATGTTTGTGACGAGTTTATGTCGAGATGGCCCCGTCTTGGGTTGGCGCTCATGGTCGACGATTCCACCATCCAAGCGTTGGGGTCAGAGCAGTTCGTGAAGAAAGCACTGGTGTCGGGAACGTTGCAGTTTTGTCGGGGTTTGGAGGCCTTGGAGATGAAGGTTTCCAGGAAGAAATGCATTCTAGTGGCATCCGACATCAAAGTGGGCCGTTCTCTGCAGCATAGTTTGAGAGAGTTCAGTTTCAAGTATGTGCCCGCGGCCAAGAACCTGGGCGTAGACTTTAAGTTGGCCTTCAACAAGGGCAGGCAGGTGACGAATAAAAGAATCACCATTGTGCGAGGCAGAGTGCGACGATATCGAGCGTTCCGATTCTCGAAAAAACCGATTCAGCAGGTCTTCAGAGGAGGGGGTACGCCTGCTGCGATGTATGGGGTGGGGGTGGTGGGGATGTCCAACACCGCACTCCAGAAGCAGCGTGCCACGACGGCAGCTGCGCTTTTTGGCCCAGCCAAAGGAAGGTGCAGGGCAGTGCAGTTTTTGCTGGCAGAGGTGCCGCAGGTTGACCCGTCGTTCCTGGCGAACGCCTTGCCGCTCATGATGTGGTGCAAGGCAATATTTTTGCAGTGGTCATCGGAGGCACAGATGCAGACGGCCTTTGACAAGGCCAAGGGAGATGCTGCTCGAGGCTGGAGTGGAGTCATAGGCCCAGCTGGAGCGGTGGTACAGACGCTGAATAGGCTGGGCTGGACAGGGACCTCCTGGTGTAGTTGGGTCACTTCGTCGGGGCTCCGTCTGGACTTGCGCGAGTTGGGTCCTCGTACGGTCAAGGCCCTCGTAGACGACACCACCGAGCAGCTCAGTTTAAAGAAGGTTAGCGAGTTTTACGACCTGTCTTGGGAGCCTTTCCTGGAACCGATCAGAGGCGTTATCGCAGAGCAGAGAAAGAGAGGGGACCATCTTGGGATCAGCCTACTTATTGCTCAGGTTTCTGGAGGCCTCTGGACGCAGAAAGATCTGTTCAAGCAGCGATACAGCTTGGACCCGTTTTGCAGATGGTGCAAGGCCCGTGAAGGGTCTGTGCACCACAGGTTATGGGGCTGCGACGGCTCCTGGCTTTTACGGCGTGATCTCGACCCAGGGGGACGATTGCTGCAGCAAGGGATCAACGCCCAGGCAGATCTTAGATGGACGAGAGCTTTGGTGCCCAGCGACCGCGAGTCCATCCCGAAGATTTTGCATGGAGCCGAATTTAAGTGGGCCCATCCTCCTCACCGTGATGGAACCCTGGGGCCATATGTGTGTGTTGATGGTTCAGGGTACGACAATGACTACCGATGGTTGGTAAGAGCAGGATGGGCAGTAGCATCAGTTTCTTCTATGCTGGAGGTGGAGGCCATTGCGTACGGGCCGTCACCGCTTCCAGTGCAGGACGTTCCCAGTGCAGAGCTTTTCGCCTTTTTTATGGCCCTGTCGCTCATGGGCCCCACCATCACGATTTGTACGGACTGTCAGATGGTCGTCGAGGGGTGGGAGGCTGGGGAGGCAGGCACTACTCACCCAAATAAGGCGTATGCGGAGCTCTGGAGACAGATCTGGAGGAGGGTCGTCGATGTCGGGAGAGAGAACGTCCAGGTAGTCAAGATTGCTGCGCACCAGTCGCGGCGTGCGGCATTCAACCATGGAGTACCGCCTCATTTTTTCCATGGGAACAGGCTCGCAGACGAGTGGGCCAAGAAGGGTGCCAAGGCGCACCCGATGAATTTCCACGTCCGTGACAGGATCAGATTTCATCATGATCAAGTGACCCTGGTGGCCAGGTTCCTGACTGAGGTGTTGAAGCATGTGCACAAGTTAGGGTACCCAGACGTGGAGGCCATCAAGGAGCGTAGGCAGAGGACCCATGTTAATTCAGAGGCCCCCCTGCTTGAAATAGTTCCAGATGATAAGGGTCACAAAATATCACAGGTCCCTGGTGGGTGGGGATGCTGTGTCTGTGGGATCGGGCGGGTCGCGCGCTCTCGGCTGGTGCAGCTGCCGTGCCCTGGGATCCCCGTCGTCTTTCAGAAAGCCCACCCCACCCACCGTCTTTGGGCCAATGGGCCAGTCTTGTGGTGCTCGGCGTGCGGTGTGTACGCCCAGCAGCAGGTCAAAGACCTAGCTGAGAGGTGTGCGGCACGCACTGTCGGTGAATGGAAGAAGAGGTCACTGCGCCTCTTGAAGCAGGGCAAGAATCCGTCCGCGCCGAAGGCGGAGGCGGTCGTGCCCGTGCCCCTCCATCGGTGAGGGTGATGTGCAGTGCGGGCATCTTGTCGTCTCGGGATGCATCGCTTGGCAGCGCAGAGCGCAGAGGAGGAGGAGGAGGAGGAGGAGGAGGAGGAGGAGGAGGAGGAGGAGGAGGAGGAGCGAGGGCAGGCCGTGCCCGTCCTCTGCCTTCGCCGATGGCAGGTGCAGCGGGCAGTCGGCGAGCGCGGAGGATATCGGGGAACAGCAAGAAGGACAGCGAGAAGGGCGAAGAGGAGCACGACGAGCAGCAGCAAGAGGACGGCGAGGAGACAGCGCGGCGCGAAACTGAACAAAGGGGAGGGGAGGAAGACGGCGAGGACCTGCAACGCCGCATCAGCGAGTCCAAGGCTCCGTGGCACCTCCTTTCCCGCTGCTTCACCGGGGTTCTAGCTCATCATCCCTTCCCTTGTTGTGTATCGCAGCTCTCCCTTCTCACCTCGTCCTCCTTCCGCTCCTCTTCACCCGCCTTTTTCGCTGGCAGCGTGCGCGGGTTTTCCTCTTGCCCCCCCCCCCCCTCCCTCCCTCTCTTCCCTCCTCCCCCTTCTCCTCGTCCTCCTCGCCTTGCGCCCCTCTCCTCCCCCCTCCTCCTCCCTCCGCCTCCTCCTCCTCCTCCTCCTCCTCCTGCCCTCGAAGCTCTGGTGGTGCTCGCCCTCCTCCCTTCCCTCTCTCTACTCCTCGTCCCCCTCTTTCCTCTTCTCCCTCTCCTCCTCCTCTCCTCGTCCTCCTCCTCCTCCTCCTCGTCCTCCTCGTCGTCGTCCTCCTCCTCCTCCTCTCTCCTCCTCCTCCTCCTCCTCCCCCTCTCCTCTTCCTCGTCCTCCTCCTCCTCCTCCTCCTCCTCCTCCTCCCTCTCTCTCTCTCTCGTCCTCCCTCTCTTGTCCCTCCTCCCTCTCGTCCTTTCCTAGTTACCCCTCCTCCCTCTCTCCTTGTCCTCCCTCTTCCCTCCCTCCTCGTCCTCGCCGATATCTCTCTTAGAGCGCACTCAAGAGCAGCGGGCGCGGAAAGGCCAGCAAACATCGTGTCCAAGGACGCGCTCGTTCCCGTGATTCCATGCGTTCAAGGTTGTTTCCGGCCTCAGAGTTCTAAATTTGTTTGGGGAGAGACGTTCCAAGTTTGTTATGGGGATGGTTTTCAGCTGTCGTTGTCCCTACGTTTTTTTGTTTTTGTTGCTGCTGTCTCCGTTTGGGGGCTTGTGCGAGGTGTCCAGGCGCCTCTTCGCAGGCTGCAACGTGAACCGCGACCGGCTGTCATCATCACCATCACCATCACCATCACCATCACCATCACCATCACCATCACCATCACCACCACCACCATCACCATCACCATCACCATCACCGTCATCATCATCATCACCGTCATCATCATCATCATCATAATCATCATCATCATCAGCAACATCATCATCGTCATCATCATCACCACCAGCAGCATCATCATCATCATCATCATCACCAGCATCGTCATCATCATCGTCGTCGTCATCATCATTCTCGGCATAACCGCCGGCATCATCATCGTTATCAGCATCGTCACCACCATTGTCATCATCATCGTCATCATCGCCATCATCATCACCATCATCATCACAATCATCGTCGCCATCATGGTGCCATCATCATCATTAGTATCGTCAGAAGCATCATTATCGCTATCGTCATCATCGTCGTCATCATCATCACCGTCATCGTCGTCAGCATCGTCGTTGTCATCATCATCTTCCTCGTCCTCGTCATCGTCATCGTTATGGTCATCATCATCGTCATCGTGGTCGTCACCGTCATCGTCATCGTCATCGTCATCATTGTCATCATTGTCCTCCTCCTTCCCTCCCTCCCTCCCTCCCTCCTCGTCATCCCTCCTCGTCTTCCCTCCCCGTCTTCCCTCCTTGCCCTCATCCTGCCTCCTCCCTCCCACCTCGTCCTCCCTCCTCGTCCTCCCTCGTCCTCCCACCTCGTCCTCGTCCTCCCCCCCCCACTCCCCTGCTCCACGCTCCGCGTCTCCCTGCTTGCCTGCCGGCGGTCTGCCGTTCTGCCCGCCCCACCTCCTCATCCTTTGGAGGGATGGGGGTAAGAGGAGGAGGGGGGGAGTTGGAGTATGAATAGGAGAAGGAGTCGGAATAGAGGTAGGAGTAGGAGTGGGAGTAGTAGTAGTAGTAGTCGTCGTCGTCGTCGTCGTCGTCGTCGTCGCAGTCGTAGTAGTAGTAGTAGTAGTAGTAGTAGTAGTAGTAGTAGTAGTCGTAGTAGTAGTAGTAGTAGTAGTAGTAGTA